GAGAGAGAGAGAGAGAGAGAGAGAGAGAGAGTGAGAGAGAGAGAGAGAGACAGAAAGAGAGAGGGAGAGGCTGAATGGCAAAATTGAACTACGGGTCAAATTGCGGCCGCGATCTATTTCACAGTTGGAATGATTTTTTTTAATTTATTTAGCATTTTTCCTGGAAAGATCACAACAAAATCTACAAGTACTCCAATTTCAGGTTTTTTCACGCATTCTTCTGAGTATGAAAACTCGTTGAATTCGGAGTACTTTTTCAGTTGGCCTACACATGGCTGAGTGGCAAAAATGGAAAATGTGCCGAATCGGCGCGACGATTATTTCGCGGTCTAAATGAATTTTTGAATATGTTCTGATGTTTTTCCTGGAAAGAACACAACGTCATCTATGGATTCTCAAAATTTGAGATTCTTCTGCGGATTCCTCTGAGCACAGAAAATCGCCAAAGTGGCCTCTTGCAAAACGTCTGTTTCGTTGTGCCTGACCTCCCTGGTTTGAGAAGACGGGCCTCAACGCCTGGGCCAGAGGGCCCTTTTGCAGTTCACATGCCCTCACTTCCTTTTGGGGTCCTGTTCCACCCGAGCACCAGTCCTTTCTTTTTCCAAAAGTCCCGGTTATACAAGAGCAGCAAGAGTTAGCTGTAGGTAGTCCGCAATATCTTAAAGGACTGTTCCCCCAAGTTTTTCCCTCTTCTAAGAACCCACTTGCGTCCTGTCGCCTGCCGCCGAAAATGTGACACCTTGACACAGACACCGAAGGCCACTATACCGCAGCCTTACGGCCGCGAACACTACTCAGCCTATCTATCCTATTTACGTTCGTGTGACTGAATCACATCGAAGTTGAAGACCATTGTATGTGATGTCATCACCAATGCAGACCGCCAGCATACATCGAGGGGTTGTGCCAGACTCGTTCTCTCGTCCGTTTGAATGCCGTTGAATTCCCCCTGACACCCGTTGAATTCCCGTTGAATAAAAAATGGAGGAAACCATAGCCTGGTCCGTTGGCTGAGAGGGAGAAGAGGACAAGAACCGAGGGGCTGTGACAGACTGTTTCTTTCGGAGTTTCAGCGACTGATTAGGAGGCTGTACCCTGACTTTCAGATTAATTGCTTTCACAATGACTCAACCGGGTTTTGACTGAACAACTACAAAAAGATAATAAGAACTGTCATGTTTCTGTCAGATGAAGTTCAACCACGAGTACCTTTCCCAGCCAAAATGCTGAGGTGTGGCGGTCAACATGGAGTCGCGACGTGGCCTCCGCCGACAGCGACATTCATTGGCTGCCCTTGGCGCCCATGGCCTGCGGCCGATGTATGGGAAAGGTTCTGGCGGTTTAACAACAAAAAGGTAGTAAACATCAGGAAGAAGGGTATATTTGTAAATTGCGACTTTTCGTTGAAAATGATTGCACAGGCTTCCCGTTGCTCCGTGCTCTTGTAGATTCGAGAGGGTTCCACAGAATCACAAATCCAGCGGGTTTATAATTATCTGTGCCGCTCATGTGTGTTTCTCCCTAATCAGGCTGGATTTGAATTCCCTTGTCTGGTTGGGTTGGACTTGAGTTGGTTTGGCTTGGTTTGGTTTGGTTTGATGGATTGATTGATTAACTGAATGATTGATTGACTGATTGGTTACTGATTGATTATTGATTGATTGATTGCATAGTTGCAAACCACTTAAAGAGTAAAAATGAGCCTGGATTTGAGCAGCGCTAGGTGGGTGCAGAGATGTCCTACCACCCGGAAAAAAAAAAAAAAAAAAAAAAAAAAACATTTTTTCGCCAGCGCAGAGTACCCTGGATGGACAGCTTCAAGGGTGACCTGCACGGCTGCTCAGCAGGGCTAGCCCAGCCAGGTACCCCTGGTAGGCTAGCTATATAGACTACTATAGGCTACTTTATTATCATTCCGTTGGTATTGCAAGGAAAATGAGCGAAGTTTATGACAGGAAGTCAGAAACCAAATTGCATCATCCAGTCGAAATCCAGATCGTCATGTGCTCGTACTGAAAGCAGAATGCAACATGAGATACACCGAATAAGAGGAAAGCAATGAAGCCGATTGGCAATGAAAGCCCTCTCCTCGCCTCCAACATCAATGTCTCCAACGTCGCTCTCCTACGCGGCGCTCAGCGCCCAGACTACAGACAGGCAGCACCTATGGCCTTGGACTCCCTATTGACGACAACACGTCTTCGTGAAGATCAGCAGCCTGGTGACGAATGACGACTCCGGCTCTGGCCGCTCTGCCCCGGCATCACCAGCCAAGCGCCATTGGGCTCCGTTCACCCCTCGTCTTCCCCCACGTGCTGCCTCCACCAAGGACCACCCCTTGAAGCTTCCCAACAGACAACACCTGTGACCTAGGACTCCCTATCGACAACAACAGGTCTTCGTGAACATCCGCAGCGAATTGCAATTTTGTTGAATAGAAATAAGATCACCACTGGAAACTTGAAAGCTAGGCCGAAGGATAATTTGATTATTAAATATTTTTACGACTTTGTGACGAATGAAGACTCCGTCTATGGCCGCTCTGCCCCCACCATCACCCGCCAAGCGCCCTTTCGCTCCGCTCACCCCTCGTCTTCCTCCACGTTCTCCCTCCACCAAGGACCACCACTTCAACCTCCCCGACAGACAGCATCTATAACCCAGGACTCCCTATTGACGACAAACACGTCTTCGTGAAGATCAGCAGCCCGGTGACGAATGAAGACTCCGGCTCTGGCTGCACTGCCCCGACATCACCAGGTGAGCGCCCTTGCACTGCGTTCACCCCCCGTCTTCCCCCACATGCTCCCTCCACCAAGGTCCACCACTTGAAGCTCCCCTGGCTATGGCTGCCGTGCGTTGCGTGCAAATGCTGCGTCCAGCAACCAACCCACGAGAGGCCCTGCTCACCCACATTGGCCTGTTTTCAGGCCTCGTCGCATTTTCAAGGACCCACCTTCACTGAGGGTGGGGTCAAACTGTTTCCCGTGGGCCCAGAACCTTTCCAACCGCGGCCGAGGGCCTCGTGCCTTGCGATACTGCCTTAGGACTGACTCATTTCATACACAATGCACCATGCACATAGCAATGGACAACTGTCAGCCTTGTCTCTTCATCCATGTTTGGCAAGTGTCCCTTCCCTTCGTCGAAGAAAGTCTGGATTGATAAAAAGGCGGGGATCAGCTCTCTGTAGTGCGCACTTCACTTGGCGCCCTCTCACATCTACTGTCAATTGTTAACGGTGGTCCCCACTTCACCTCACTGCCTTAGCAAGGGAATGCACGACAGCACGCTTCCACGCTTCCACGCGGTTCCCACTTGCCTGCAGTTCGACACAAGACCACACGTCAACACACACACACACACACACACACACACACACACACACACAGAGCTGTACTCGCTGTCTCGTGCACACCCAACTGCACCTGCTCGCTTGTGCCCATGCCAATGGGTCACCCACCGTGGTTGAAGCAGATAGAGATCAACGGTGGAAGATTATTCACTCCCATCTATCTTTATTATCCACTCAATCTATATTTGATTATCCAGTCCTCCCGAAAAGGGAAAAAAAACAAATCCACTTTAATCCAGTCCATCCTTTTTTTTTTTTTTTCCGAGTTCGTCAGGGCTACTATGATCCAGTCCATATGACTCCATCTGAGTCCATCATCTATTGTTAGGCTGCACTTAAACAACCAGTTACTAGCAAGATAGATCAATGGTGGAAGATTATCGAGTCCGTCTATTTTTAGGCTGCACTTGACCGATTGGGATGTCAAGCAGTCACTGGTGAACACCGACATGGTCCAACATCGCCAACGCCATCTTGGCCAACACTGACCACCCCACGCTGACGCCATCTTGGCCAACACTGGTGACCGCCCCACGCCAACGCCAACGTCAACGCCAACCCCACCGCCACTGCCAACGCCACCGTCACCGCCAACACCACCGCCAGTGTCGATGCCAACGCCGATGCTAACGTCGATGCCAACGCCGATGCCAACGATAAACCCGGCCGATACTGGCGAACACCTCATGCCAACGCCAACGCCAACGCCAACCGGGTTAACACTGGCAAACACCCCATGCCAACGCCAACGCCAACCCGACCGACACTCGCAAACACCCCATTCCAACGCCAACGCCAACGCCAATGCCAACCCAGCTGACATTGCAGCATCATTGCTGGCATAGCCTAGATTGCCGACATGGTCGACATCATCAACATGATAACCATCGAGGGGTTGAAAAGAAAGAACAGAAAAAAAGAAAATTAAAGGTAACAGTGTGAACTGTGAAGTCAGGAGGTGGTCAGACGTTGAGAAAAAGGATGCGAAAAGAAAGGGTAGGGGAAAAAACAAGAAAAGATAAAAAAGAAAAAGAAAGAAAGAAACATAAAACTACGTCCGCTGCCAACGGGGCGTAATTCAGTTGTTACACCCATAAACTATCTGTTGAAATACGAATCAGACCCAAGTTCGAATCCAGATACAATCAGATGACCAGAATAAGATCATTCTGAATCACCTGAGGCCGGTCAGTTCAATGATGATATCTCAAGGCCATCTGGAAAAGAGGGTACAAAGCAATTGAAACAGGAAAACAGGGACCTTCTAGAACGATAACGATTTATTTTCGATCAAATTATTTATTAGTCAATTATTAGTCGAGAACAACAGAGTCGAACAGACGGGCATTGAATTGGGGAAATGAAAAGGTGCTGCACGCAACTTGGCAACTTGGCAACTTGGCAACTTGGCAAATTGCCAAATTGCCAAATTGCCAAATTGCCAAAAAAATCCCAAATTGACTAATTGGCAAATTGGCAAAAAAATCGCAAATCACAAAAATGGGCAGCCAAAAAAAATCGCAAATTGCAAAAATGGGCAAATTGCCAAAAACTTTGCAAATTGGACAAAAAAAAATTGAAAAAATTGCAAATTGCCAAAAAAATCGCAAATTGTCAAATTGGCAAACTGGCAAATTGGCAAATTGACAAATTGACAAATTGGCAAATTGGCAAATTGGTCAACTTGCAAACTGGCAAATTGGAAAATTGACAAAGCAAAGGTACACACTATAAGTCAGAATCATCTCTTCGAATTACGTCATTGCAATGAATGCAGAAGTCATTGAGAATGAAGTCCATCAGGCTTCCTTTAGCAGGAACAAGGGTGGTGGTCATCTTGTGCCAATGATGAAATGCGAATGTTCGCCATTGCATCCGTCGTCGGAGGAGTTTCTCCCTTCTTCTCATCTCTTGCCCTTCTGCCAGCTCAAAATACCTGTGCAATATATGATACATCAAGTTATCCAAAAAAAAACATTGACAAAAGAAAAAAAAACATAAATTAGTTCTTTGCTTCTCTAGAATCTCTACCAGGTCAACAAACATGCATCCCCTGCACATGTGAACAGACAACATGCTTTTTTTAAGTTTTTGTTAGTTTTTTTTAGTTTTTTAAACTTCCCCCCCCCTCCCCCCCCTCTTCTCTGCCTCATATATCAACAACAAAAGTTGAAAAACATTATTAAAAAAAAAGGTTTGAAAAACAAAACAAAAAAGGTTGAAAAACATAAAAAAAAGGTTAAAAAAAAAGAAATCAGTTGTATGGTTCTCCTAGTTCTCTAGTTTGCAGCCCGAAGGCTGCGCTGTACTGGGTTGCCACCTCTTTGTCAAGGTGCACTCGGATGACCACTTGATAAAAAGGAGCATATAGGGGTCAAAATCTTTTGGTGACCAGTCCTTCGGGCGTTTGAGGAGGACCAGCATCTATTAGGTTGCGCTACCGGTAGCTTCCAAATTCGAAGGACCGGTTGTAGGATTTGGACGGAAGGACAGGGCAGGTCTATGTGTGGTGGACCTCTTTTAGAAGCTGGGTTCCGTCGCTGCAGTGGTCTGATTTATGTCGCATCACACGTTCTCAGGGGGCATATGGCGGCGACGAAGTTGTGGTTGGAAGGTTGGATTGCATGGCACGTGTCCTTTTCTCTTTGTTAAAAGGTTGTGAGGGATGTTGGGAAGGGTGCAAGGAGAGGACGTCTGCTAGGAGGCTGGATGCACCGACTTCAGCCTCCTGTCGGTGCAGTGAACCCACCCACACAGAGAGGACACTCAAGCACAGAGCGCACAGCCTGGACCACACACACAGGGAGGTATGGACCGGGATCTGTGCTACTCGGTCACCAGCAACGGGATGCGCCATACACGTAGGTCCCCAAGGTGCCCTGCCGGGAGGCGTCACCGCACCCTGTCAACTGACGTCGAAGGAGACTGTCGTAGGCCTGCGAGGAGGACGGTGAACCCTGGCATCCCCTCTTCTAACCCTTCCCCACTGAGCCCACCCCTACCCTCGCGCCATCCCCCCATGACCCCGCACAACCCAAGAGGGGTGCAAGCACTGCTCTCCGACAACCCAGACGGAGCAGAGCCGTGTGGCACGCCCAGGGGGGCAGCCTCCGATGTGGCAGCCACAATGACTCGATCCCACAGTTTGGAGCTGTATCTTGAAACCCCTGTGCACGGCCGGGTTTCGAGCATCGGACCTCTTGCGTTGCCTAGTGTACAAACAAGCCTGCGTCGGTCGATGCCCGCCGGCCGACTGCACAGGGCGCAGGTCCGAAGATTTGAACCTGCGTCCTTATACCACAACGCGCATTCGACACCGGTGCTCTGACCACTGAGCTAAGCCACTTGTGTGTGCCACGTGTCCTTTTGCAAGCATCAACCCTGCTTGGTTTCAGCGCAGAACACGTGACTGCATCAGTCTGCATGCCTGCTCTCTCTCTCTCTCTCTCTCTCTCTCTCTCTCTCTCTCTCTCTCTCTCTCTCTCTCTCTCTTACACACACACACGCCCACACACGCACACACACACACACACGCACACACACACACACACACGCAATCAGCTTTATGTCTGTCTGTTTTTTTCCTGTTGTTGGTTCTCCCTCTGATTTTTTTGAAGTATTTTACTTACCCAACTGAGCACCCTTAAGTAGTGCCAAACAGTCCGTGGTTCCTCATTTGGCGTGCATACTGCACTCTAGGGGGGCTGCTCAGTTCGGGATGTCTGTGTTGCCTGTGGGTGATGACGGATGTTTGTCGGAGTGACTCCCTGGCTCAGCGGGTGGTGGGAACCAACAGTCTGCAGTGTTCAATCGTGATGTGAGCAGGTGATGTGCCCCTTTGCTCCGAGTTGGATGTGTGGTCTGCCCCGTCTGCGCTGTGGGACCTTCGTTGGTCCTTGCACGGCCGGGCACCCCGGGCAAACAAGGTGACCCGGGCGGCCCGGCTGGTACCCTAGATTCAGACCAACTTTTCTACTCCATTTATTCCAATCTTTCCTTCTTCACTCCCTCGTTCCAAGGTACATTCTACACTCCCCTGTCATGCTGAAGCACTTCCCCTCCCCTAAGTTTATTTATTCCCATCCATAAGGGTACGGCAAAGTACATTACCACATTTTGGTCAAAGTGACACTAACAATCGCCCCCCAAAAAACATAGCAGAAACAACAATTTTGCTCCAAAAAAAAAAGGSGGGGGGKKGGGGGGGGGGGRGGGKTGGGGACAAAAACACTTCGTATAGAGCCCTAACACAAAAACAACTTTMCAARTTAAAATAARTRAWTMCACARTTTCAACGARATGSWGACTTTTTCTCTGTTAGTCMACATGTGTCAAAAGACTCGAAACCAAAACTTAATACACGACGTACACTAAAGCACCTAACATATCACACACGAAGAAAAATCAAGGGCAAAAAAAAAAAGCACAGAATCTAGCCCATAGGACAGTTTCAGCGCAAAATTCGGCAAAAATAACACCCCCGGTTAACCACGTGTATTTTGTTGCCCCAACCATTACCGTTTTTTTTTTTTTTTTTTTTTAATTAAATTTGGACCATTTCTCGACTTATGCGTGTCATCCTTGAAAGCGCAGGGGCCATGCTAATCTTCTCTTTCTCTGTATCGTTGCGATTTTAACGGATGTCACGAAGGACGTTGCCCAACCATTACCTTCGTAATCCAAAAGACAAATCCTACCTTGTGACTTGAGACCCCAAAATGCACCCAATTCAACTCTTGGACAGGCAAAATTTCTTAGGCCACCTTTCTACTCCATTTATTCCAATCTTTCCTTCTTCACTCGGTTACCTAAGCTCCACACATTCCACCCGCCCCCCATCATGCTTAAGGACTTCTTCTACGCTACACCCTCCACCCCCAAAAAACCGTAGCGAAATAAAATTAATAAATCGGTATAAAATCCAAATAATAGTTTTGCAATGACCAGTCCTTTGCAATCTCGCAGACAACCGCCGCCTCTCCCGGCACCTTCCGGAATCCGCCTCTGGAAGTATCGTGAAACTGAGGGTCTCAAGACCCTAAACCCTGATAGGCATCGTAATCGAGCCACTTCCACTTGGCCCGACCGAGATAGACATCGTAATCGAGCCACTTCCACTTGGCCCGGCTGATATAGGCATCGTAGTCGAGCCACTTCCACTTGGCCCGACCGAGATAGGCATCGTCATCGAGCCACTTCCACTGGAATGTCAGCTATGCTGGTACGGACTGAGAACTCAACCTGAGATCTCTTTTTTATTGGATGTGCATTCGGGTGTGTCCCGACGGGCCGCAGCAGGACCTCATCAGCCACTTCCACTTGGCCCGGTGCTCCCGGGTTACAAGGCGCCATAACTCGGCCCACTGAGTTACCTGTATCGACTCGCCGGGACCACCAATCCTACTGACACCACTGACAGGGACTGCAGCGGGAAAAGAACCCGGCGGCACCGACTCGCCAGGACCACCAATCCTACTGATGCCACTGACAGGGACTGCAGCAGGAATAGAACCCGGCGGCACCGACTCGCCGGGACCAACAATCCTACTGACGCCACTGACAGTGACTGCAGCGGGAAAAGAACCCGGCAGCACCTACGCGGTGCGGCTCAGGCATGAAACCAAATGAGCTAGCTGGCAGGACGAAGAACAGAACACACCGTTCAAGATCTAACCATGCCTTGTACGATAGCGAACGCCTTCTCGCAACACCTCCAGCAAAGGAGCTTTGCCGACTTTCCGGGAACAAAATAATGTTGAAAAAAACAGAAAATACTAAAATAGTCAAGAGCATACATTCAGACTGTCACCAGAAGAAAAAAAAAAGAAAAGACTGTCAATAGGCCACGCTAAAATTCACAGCCCTAAGGTTGCGATACAACGGATTCCCGCATCTATGTTCGCGGCCCTCGAGTATAGTAAATTCCTGTGTCTGCATCAACGTGAATGATTTGCGCTCGGGCCTAACAATGTGCCGGATTTCTTGAAGCAGTGACAAGCCCACTACCATTTGCGTTTACGACGACACGCATGTGGGAAAATGACGCATGCCTCTCTCTCTCTCTCTCTCTC